GGATGGGTGGATGAACGGATGGATGGACAGATGGACGGATGGATGGATGGATGGGTGGATGGATGGATGGGTGGGTGGATGGATGGATGGATGGATGGATGGGTGGATGGGGAGAGCATGAGACCTTCCTCTGGGATTAGGGGAACAGGAGGAGAGGAAAAGCCAGAGATTAGCCTGAGAGGTCAGTCCCCAGGAACATCCCTGCACCCCAAGAGGATGGGAACTGACCTGGCCCAGGGTGCCCAGGGCACAGGGCTGTGACAGGGCCAGCCGTGAGTCCACCAGCCCGCCCAGGGGCGGCTCCTTCCCGGGGATGCTGTTGTAGTAATTGTGTTCTGCTACTTCCTCATCCCCCCAGGCTGAATCTTCCAGCCCAGTCAACCTGTAGGGGGAGGGGACAGACAGCAATGTGGGGAGCCCAGGAATGGACCCCAGCCTGCAGTGACAATGCATTACAGGGCCTTCATGCAGTGGAATGAGCCAGGCCCATGGGGACTCAGACAAGGAGACCTGGGTTCGAATCCCCGCCCCCCCACCTATCCCCAGAGCATAGAGCTCAGCATGAAACACTTGTCAAATTAGTAACAGGTCCCTTCTCTCCTCGTCTCTAAACTGGGGACACCTCCCAGGGCCATGGCAGGAACACCTAGCAGGTCCTCATGAAGGCCGGCGTCTACCGCTTCCTGCCTACTCTGGCCCACCAAGCAGCTGGGACCTAATGCTAAGTTTTTACCAGAGCCAGATATTGTGGGGTGAGGCGGAACGCCATCAGCAGTGATTGCACTTCTAGAAACTTAATCCAACAAGTGCCCACACAGGGGAGCGTGGTCAGCGCAAAATGGTGGGAGCAACCTGCCTGCCCATTGACTGGAAACTGGGCAGATAAACGACAGCTGGACACGCAGTGGAGCACAATGCTGCAGATAAAAGGCAGAGGCGGCTCCAGTGAGGAACAGCCTCCCAGACCCAGTACATGAGAAACACCGTGCTTGTCAGGAATAGTCTCTAGTACTGTTTGCATTTTTATCACGTGCGTATCTTGCATTTCTAACAAATTAATCCAAAACCAAAAGCCAAACCCATTGCCACTGAGTCGATCCGACTCAGAGCCACTCTATAGGACAGAGTAGAACTGCCCCGTAGGGTTTCCAAGGCTGTAAATCTTCATGGGGGCAGACTGTCACACCTCTCCCGCTGAGCAGCTGGCTCTCCAGAGCCGGCGTCAGCCTACTGTGTACCGCTGGCGAGCTGGAATGGTCTGTGTACTTTTAAACCATAAAACTTTTGAGTGGTTGGGAAAACATCAAAAGACTAACCTTCTGCCCCATGTGAGTTACATGAAATTCAGATTTCAGTGTCTATAAATAAAGTTTTACTGGCCCACAGCCACACTCACTTGTTTATGTAGCATCTGCAGCTGCTTTTGCAGCAAAGCCGACCATATTAACTGTCTGGCCCTTTACGGAACAGTTGGAGGTGCCTGGTCCAGACTAAGGGCGCTAAAAGTGAGAGCAGCTGCGGACTCGGCACCAGGCACAGCTTTCTTACAGCAACTGGGGCGTCCGATCCTTGCCTGGACCCCGGGAGGCAGGGGCTGCTTTTATCACGGTTTTACAGACGAGGAAACCAGGAGGTTCGGTGATGAGCCCGAGGACCCAGGCAGAGGGGAACAAAGCTGAGATTCCAACCCAGGCACAGAGGAGAGAGCTGGGCTCTGCGCCCGGGTGGCCGGGGCCAGGCCAAGGTCCAGGATGGATGAGGGTGGGTCCACTCACTTTTCCGGGGGCATGACCACCTTGGGGGGGCTGTGCAGGTACTGCTTGAAGCGCAGCTCGAAGGCTTGGCCCACGGTGCTGATGACACTCTGGGCGAGGCCCCCGCAGCACTCCAGGATGTGGCAAGCTGCAGGTGTTTGTCACGCGGCGTCAGTGGGGCTAGGACTAGCCCATATGACTCCAGCCCGCTGGCACCCACCCGGCCTCCCAGGGCAGCCTCACCTCTCTGGTTGATGGGGTCCTTGGCGACATAGGCCACGTAATCCGTCATGTCCTGGAAGACAGCAGCCAGCAAGGCCTGCTCTGGTGGCCCCATCTGGGACTCCCAACCGCCCACCCCCAGCCATGTAGCAGGGACGGGGCCAAGCAGACTGCAGGAGGGGGCTGGGAAGGGCGAGCAGGTCTCGGGGCTGGAGGAGCAGAAGGCTGGAAGACCCCCACCCACATCCCGGCCTTACTGTGTCACCACCGGACGCGAAGGAGATGGACTGCATGTGGTGATTGGCGATGGTCTGTGTGCAGAGAGACACTTGGTCACGGGCCTGGAGCAAGTGAGCCCTGCAACCGGGCAGGCGGGTGGTGGGCCGGGCACACGGGAAAGGTGGGAGGGCAGGCCAGGGAAGGCGAGACTGCAGCTGGTCCGGGATCCACCAGGACGACTGAGAGTCCAGCTGGGTGGTGGAGCCCCCAGCCTGTACCCCCCAGCAAGGAGGGCCAAGAAGGGCACTGGACCCCCAAGGTCCCACAGCATGTGTGAGAGGACAAACCACCCCTCAGAGGCAGACACGCACACACAGACACACAGACACTCACACAGACACACACTCATACAGAGACACAGACACACAGACACTCATACAGAGACACAGACACACAGACACTCACACAGACACAGACACTCACAGACACCCAGACACTCAGGCAGATACTCACACAGACACTTAGTCGCAGACACTCATACAGAGATACAGACACCCAGACACTCATACAGAGACACAGACACACAGATACTCACACAGACACACAGACACTCAGGCAGATACTCACATAGACACCCAGTCACAGACACTCATACAGAGATACAGACACCCAGACACATATACACCTAGTCACAGACACTCATACAGACACACAGACACATATTAACACTCCTCTGACACACAGACAGACACTCACACAGACACTCAAACACACAGACACTCACAGACACCCAGACACAGACACTCACAGACACCCAGACACACACTCACATAGACACCCACTCACAGACACTCATACAGACACACAGACACTTGTTAACACCCCTCTGACACACAGACAGATACACCCACCTGCACCCCCACGCACACACCCAACCAGTCAACAACCAGTTGCCGTCGAGTCGACCCCACTCATGGTGACACCGTGTGTGTCAGAGCAGAACTGTGCTCAGTAGGGTTTTCAATGGCTGATTTTTCAGAAGCAGATCTCCAGATCTTTTTTCCGAGACGCTTCTGGGTAGACTCAACCTCCAATCTTTCAGTGAGCAGCTGAGCATGTTACCCGTTTGCACTACCGAGGGTCTCCTCACTCACACAACCTCAAACAGTAAGATCCTCACACAGACCACACGTTCGCACACACACTCACACAATAAGATCCTCACAGACACACA